AAACCTTTTTTTTTTGAGTATTATGGTTCTTCCATGTGATTTGATGTATAATGCACACATCTTAATAGTCCTACATTAGTCCCAGTAGTCTAGACTGGAAAACAGAACATGCAGTTAGGAATTATGATATTGAGTTCAACTATCGTTGCATGTGAGGTTCAGTTGCCAAGCACAGGGATGGAGCAAGTTATAAGGCAGGGATAGGTTTGAAGATGCACAAAGTATTCAAACATTCTTGATGACTATGAGTAGAAATTTCCTCCACGAGTAAGGAAGATCTTCCACTTTTCAAACCATTTTCAGATGTGTCAGGTTTTGGCCCTGTCCCTGAGCACTTGCATGTCTCTGCTTTATGGTTATTAGTGTAAGCAGCTTTACTTATTTGTGAAACATCTTGCAGACTCTGTCCCATGGAAACAGTACAGATTTAAGCCACTTTTCAAGATGTTGTTAATTATTTCTGAGTGTGCCTTGTCCTTTTCTTGCTGAGGACTAATGACACAGCAGTATATTTATTCAGTGAGCTGTGGCTGTCTTTTCTACCTTGGGACTTTTAATTTTGCTGAAACTTGCTATATGAAATTCCAATTCTTTCCTTATTGACAACTGTGATATTGGATAAACAAAGGAAATTGAGGTGAGCAAGTACTCAAAAATATCCAGTAAAAGTCAAACTAGTAAAAAATATTGCATCTTCCAAAATAATCCAGGCACTGGAGGAATATGACAGATTTCATCTGTGAATGAGTTAATGATAAGGTGAATTGATTTCCATGAACCTGAAAATGGGAAATGACTGGCCAGTTTGTTCTATTGAACAACACAATCAGTGAGAATAGGATGGGAAGATATTTCCTGAAATATACAGTGAATTAAGTACTGTCTTCTCTGTTGTTATTAGACAATACAAACCGCAGGGGCAGCAGATACTTTCTGGGCTTAGTTACCTTGAAAAAAGCAGTATTTTTTCCTGCTTGCTTACACATTTGCCACTTTTCTCATCAGACTGCACAGATCCCTGCAGAGAAGCTGTGTTCCAAAGGCTGTGTCTATATACATCCATACATCAACACATGGAGGAAGAGTGAGTCTCTTAGATATGGAGTCCACAAGCTGTGCAAGCCCATCCTTGCTAGATCAGAAAAGGCCTGTAAAATAACTCTGACTTACTCAATGCAATTTGGGGTTTTTTGCTGTTTGTGTTCCTGCAGATCAGAACAGTCCAGCACGTATCTTCAGGTGTTACTGTCGCACAATTAACTTTAGCCCTAGATTTAAAACAAATAACTTGTTGTGCCTCCTGCAGTGACCAGGTGAGAAGGTTAGGCTCAGCACCGAGCAACAAAGTTGTTTTGCTGCTTCCACTGGTGTAAAAGGCTTTAAGGGCAAGAGGCTTAGCAGTGGACTGTAAGTAGTTCAGTGGTGGTATTAGTTACAGATCCATTTTCGTCATCCATAAGATGAGCAAGGAAGAGGGAACTTGAGTTAAGGTACTCTGCGATCACTCCCATCCAGGGAGCATGTTTGCCCAGAGAGGGGAATTGCCTTTGGAACTTGACCAAGGGTATTCCATGCTTGAGCAGACCCAAACTGTCTGGTACAAATGCAGATTTCATCCTTCCTGTTTGATTGTTTGGTAGAGTGTTTCTAGTTTGTGTCATTAAATGTTCTGGAAAAAACGTGTTGTTCTTCTAGAGGGAAAGATTCAAAATCTTAGTTCCCTGCTATGCAAAGGTCAAGTCTTTGAAGTGTCTCTGTCTTCTTAGGTTTGGTATCCAAGGAGTTAGATAGGAGCAGTTTTAGCATGGAAAATGAGCTGGGTACCTACCAGCACCAACCCAGGCTTTTCTTAGCCTTAATTGTGTATTGCATGGAGTTGGATAAACTGTTTCCAATTATAGACCTATTCCCACTGGCTTTTCCCTAATGTAGCTAGTGAATTACTGGATATTGAAGTACATGTACAAAAGACAATTTGGGCTGAAGGACTTCAATGCATCTTACAAAGGAAACCGTACAGCTGCAAATATGAATTTGTTTTATGGTCTCAATCTCAACTTTACAAGGGTATCACCTAACAAACCATAACCACTGCGGAGAGAAAGAACAGGAGCAAGTGGCCACCCATAAGCAAAGTAAGGCAGGAAATCTGACTACAAAGGCTCTCCTCGTTATTATTGTTGTAATCACGTATCGATAGCCAGACTTCACATGTGCAGTTGTTCAAGGACACGAGTGGCTTTGCAACTCAGCTTTTGAAAGCACCTGCGTTGTGGGCACAAGGCTGTGAGTTGTCTGTGGTGCATGAGCAGGTCTGGCACAGGACCAGGGGGTCTGTGTGTACCCACTGCTGCAGCCAGCAGTTCCAGCCTGCCCTGCAGCTTGTTTCCTGTTCGTCTCTGTGCTTAGGAAGTACATTGTGCCACTCTCCTTTTTCTACAGTAGCTGGAAATTTCCCTGGGGTTACTTCTCTCTTAAGAGAACAGTACAGTAACAGAAGAGTAATTTCCTATCATTTAAACAAGAGGTCCTGTGTCTTAATATGGCTGTTGTTCAAATAAAGGCACAGAACTGCAGAAACAAAAGTTAGAAGCGCCTGAGTTAAGTTTTTATATCATGTCGATTACTGTGATGCATAAAGTGAGGCTCCCATATGTACAGGCACCTCATCAGAGCACGCAAGGTCCCTGATGGTGGAAGGCTTTCCAGCCCATTAAAAAATGTTTTTTCTAGTATGTCATTCTGGCTGTTCTCCCTGTGAGCCTGCATTTGGCAGCCAAGCAAACCAAAGGCCAGCATAGGTATCCTGCTGTGTGTGTGTCCTTCTCCTCACCATCTAAAGTTTGTGCATGTTTACTTTTTCTTCCTGACCAGGCATGTATTATATATCCTGTTTGCTCTTAAAAAAAAAAAAAAATCACACTGGCATAGAATTAGCAAGACTCGGGGGCTTCTTCTGACTGGTATGGTTGTTGGAAGAAGCTGCATTTTGGTGGGGTGCAGCAAGCTGTCCCTGATGCTGAGGACCTCTGTTGGCCAAATCTCTGCATTTGGCAGGGAAATCACAGGAATGACTTTGCCTCCTCTTTGTTTTATCTCTGTGGATTTCTTTTCCAGGGACAGGAGCAAGGACCAGCCCTCATGCTGAGTGACTTGCTTAGTTCCCTTTTCTGGCTGGCTATCTCACAAAAAGCTGGGAAGCTGAGGGAAGCATCTTGGGTATTCCCCTTCATTCATGCACTGATATCTGGGCTGACTGCTGTAGGTCCCAATCCTTCTTACAGCACTAGTGAGAGGCAGAGTTCAGAAATTTGATTCAATATGGATAACCAGGTAGCTGAATGATTTTGTTTCTGTTAAAGGTAGAAGCTTCTCCAGAGCAGTGGTATCCCATTATACTGCTGCAAGCTATGACATGTCATCTGCTACAGTACGTAAATGTTTTTCAGACCTCATTTATTGAAAAACTACATAAATCTGATGAATAGATCAGAAAACTGATTGCTTTCAAAAGGCTGTAGTTAATTCTTGTAGTAATCGGGATTTTTTTTAGTGCTTTCACATTGGGTGGAGCTGGAACCAGCAAACACAGAATTGTAAGAAATGGGTCATGGGAGGGAAGTTGGTGGGAGTGTGTCTAGATCTGTCCAAGCTGCACTCACCAGATGCTGAGGTTCTGGGTCATGCAAAATATTTTTTCAGCTTTTATAGATCTTCCAGCTCCAGTCATTATAGGAACACCACGTGCGTAGTACATGTAGCTGAAAATGTGCAGAGTTTTGTTAGTGTGTACAGTACCCATAACCCTGCTTGGGCTTGAAAGTGCAATGTTGCGTCATCTTCAACTATTACTAACAGTATTTTTTTCTTATGATTTCATTATGATACAGTACTAGAAGGTGCTTTTTGTTTCATGATGGGGATGTGAAAGAAAAGACCAGCAGCACAGCAACTAGGATTTTCCGAGAGAGGTTGTGTTTCCATCTGAAACCAATACTGTGGGTTCTCGTGCGCTGGACTGAGGCGGTGGGAGGGAGGACGGAGGTTACTCGGCATTCATTGCCCTCTCTGAGTATGGGGAAAAGTGCAGCCTCATGTTCCCTGAGTCACGCGGGAGCAGTCATGTCATTCAGGGAGCGAACGGCAGCTCCCGAAACCAAACTACAGCTGGAGTTTCCATCATAATTCCCTTTCTGATTTCTGCTGTGCACCTGAGCTGGGCCCTTGGGCCCCCCCTTGTACAGGTCTATGGATGAGTAAAATCCTGAGTCCTTCTTAAAAGAGAGAGCTTCCTGCTAAGTCGCAGAGATGGAGGGCTGTTGGAAGTGGACGAGTCGGGAGCACTCAGTGTGTGCCGAGCCGACTAAAGATGCACCACAGAAATAAAAGCAAGGGGAAGGGGGCGGCAAAACTCTGCGTAGGATCTCGGGGTGTCTGGTGTCCCCTCGTGACGGAGGGGCAGGGAGCCCCCGGGACGGCTCCCGGCGGCTCGGTCCACCCGCGTCGCTGGGATTTCCAGCGCCGTCTGGGACGGCGGCCGCGTTCCTTCCGCAGCGGAGCCGGCGGCGCGCCCCGGGGCTGCCCAGCCGCCTGTGAAACCCGAAACCCGAGGGCTGGCCCTCGGCAGGCCGCTCCAGCCCCTCGGCCCGCGCCCTCACAACACGGCACACGCGATACCCATCGCACACCTCACACGCAGGCACATTGCACATCTCACGCACTCACATTACACATCTCACACACAGATTACACATCGCACACCACACATCGCACACACGCGGTGCCGCTCCGCCCGCCGCCGTGGGCTGCCCCCGGCGGGCACCGCGGGGCTCCCGTGTGATGGTGGCGGCCCCGCCCGCGCACAGGTCGCCTGAGCGGCTGAGGGAGGCGGGAGGAAAAGAAACTTCTGAGCGCAGCCGAGCCGAAATAAGCTGTCGCTGTTGCCCGGCGTGCCCCGAGGAGCCGCCGCGTGTATGGGCGAGCCCGCCGGCCCTGCGGGCGGGCTGTAGGAGCCCCGGGCCGGGGCAGCGCCGGGGGTCTCGCCGGAGCGGGGCAGCGCCGCAGCGGACACCGGGGTAAGGGCCGCCTTTGCCGCTTTTGTCCGGGTGACAGAACCGTGTGGTCTTTGCAGGACAAATTACTGCTGCAGACCGGGAAGCGGTGGCAGCAGCTGTGTGTGTGTGTATGACAGCTGTTCTTGTCTGCCGAGTGTGTGTGTGTGTAGGCATCTTTAAATGTTATGTGCTGTTATTTCTTGACGGTGCCAAATACTTCGTAACAGAATCCCTTTCTGTTGGTTTCAGGGGTGCAGGCAGAATATATGTGATCTGACTACTTGTTGACTTAAGTATATTTGAGTCAAAGACCCTTGTGCTTTCTGCCAATCCCCGTGTTAATGGGTGTCTTGGGTTTGTGATGGTTGTCTTAAAATCTTCCTCCTTCTGCACAAGTGTCTGTAGCAGGCTTTGAGAGGTAAGGTCCTCACTGGGACAGACTTTGCAACAAGGAATCTGTAATCACAAAAGAGTTGGGGAATCTGCCATGGATTTTTAGAGCCACTGAGTGGATTTCTTTTTAAGATGAGGGAATAATTGTCTTCTCATTTTCCTTCATTGGGAAGGAGGTGGTATATAATATTTGTCTCTTTCTTGTCTCTAGCAGTAATGTGCATGTATGTTGTCAGTTTGGGAGTTTTCTTATTTCAGCAGGGTGGAGAGTATTAAATAATTCATGTTTGCTGTTAAAAACGTTTTTACAACAGATGACTGGAAATAAACAGCAGTAGTTTTTTTAGATCGGTACCTTTTAGATAGAAATAAGAAAACAAATTAACTTAATATGTAGCACAGTGATGTCATAACACAGAATTTATCTAATATTAATATGAATTCTTTTTGTCTGTGTTAAGTGGCATGGTTGCTGGGAAAGGATGATCATAGCTCTTATTAGCTCAGCAGGTATTAAGGTGATGTTAGGTTAAGTTTTTCTGTCGTGCAGTACTTCTGTACCTAGAAGGTGACAATAACTTCTGTATGTTCAGGGGAAAAGGATTCCACATGAGGTAAGAATTAAGGGACTGGGACTTATCAATACAAGGGGCAAAGCATCTTTTCCTAGCTAAAAAGGATTTAAGTGGCATCTCATACTCAAAGAAGGCATGCAGAGTTATAGCCAGAGGTAGAAGAAGGAAGGATTGAGAGTCAAGTGCTTGTTTCCAGTCCCATGAAATTTTCATGTTGTGGCAGGTTTTGTTATTGCAAAAGACATCTTCTAGTATGTGATACAGTGACTTATGTTAAAAATAAATGTGCATAGAACTCATGTTTCTTTGTGCATGGTATCTAAAGTTATTAGTCTGCCTTTTCTTTGATGTCCTGTCTCTCAGCTGTTTTTTTCTTCCCTGTTTCTTTACTTGACTTTCAGTCTTTAATGGAACTAGGTTTAGTCCACCCTGAAAAAACTAAACCAACTAAAAAACTGACAGTAATTAAGTAAAAAATATAAAGCCATGTAGAAAATTCAACTAAAAACATGATTCTATATGTAAAGCATGTCTTCTTTGCACTGTAAGGCAGTGTGGTTTTGGACTCAAATGAAGGGGAGGCTGTAGGTTGTTTCTTTGAGACATGTGCTTCTCCTGTGTTTGCAGGCTGGTGCACGGAGATCATTTTTATGGCCCTATAGCTAGGTTCATTTTTCTGAAAATGGACTTTAGAAAGACAGAAATTAAGACCCCTTTAAGGGAATGGCCTCACAAGTAGTAGTTTGTAAGGTCATATCTTAAGAAGCAACCAGAATCAAAAACTCCTGTGAGCTTCATGTGCAACTAAAGCACATGAGCATGTCTTGCTGCTTGATTCAATATCTGGGGCTTTTTTAAATACAGTGTGTGGTAAAAAAAAAAGGGGAGTTGAAATTCATGGCGAGTAGTTTGAAGGGATTTGCAACTGCAACCTTTAGCTTTCTTCTCTGTAGGCTCTTCTGTGTTTATTGTGACCTGATAGCCTTTAGAAGTATGCTTTATTCTTGGAGCTATTACTTACTGGCTATGTAACAAATGTGGATAGAGCCTTTCCCAAATCTTCGTTCGTGAAGCCTAGCCATGATTACTTACTGGCTTTATCTATATTGGGCAGAGGGAATGCTTGACGTAATTATTTATTTTTTTTTAATAATCTCCTGGAACAGAGTGTGACACTTCATCATATTGGGGGGGACATTTGTCTTGTACAGTGTTTTGAGAGGGTGAGTGTTTATTAGCTTCCAGCCAGGAAGCAAAAGAAAAGGTTGTCTTCTCTTGGCATTCTGAACAAAGAAAAACATTGCAGGAGCATATCTGGTATAGGTTTTCTTTGTTTACTGTGTGGAACTTGGCTTTCTGTAATATTGAAGACTCCAGGTAAGGTGAGTGAGTGGCTGATAGTGTCAGATGATAAGGAAACACACAACTTTTAATGCAACTTCTTACTCCACCGCCAGTCTTGGGGGATAGAAACTTAAAAAGACAATAGAGGCCGAATTTCCAGCTTAGATTCTCTTCCTTCATGTAAAACTCTAGAAAGTGTGAGTGATAAGATTTAGTCTATGTTACTTTCTATTATTATGTTAAAGCAAGGATTTCAAGTTAGAATTGTTTTTTTTTATAGTTGTTGCCTGCATTTATTTAGAGAGTCTTTATTAGGTTGCACTTTTTTTTATTGAAAGCATTCACCAGGTGACTCAAAAATGGATGTGCTTCAGCAGCATAGCAGACATCAACAAACCCTGTGTTGAGGTAGATAAAGGCTCTTCAGTTGCAGAGCTGTAATCAAATGGTGCTGAAATCCCAGTCTTATAGCAGTGGGAAGGGCATACAGCCTTTGGTGGCATTGGTACTGTGGGAGCCAGAAGAGGCTGCCTTGCCAGGGAGCTGTGCATGAGCTCCCAGGAGCAGCTGGATGGTGTTAGGAAGCAGCACTCTTTTTGGTCTCTATGGTAGCCCAACCTCAGCAGGACAGCCAGCGTCTGATGCCTCCCAAGCCTCCTGGTTTTGTCATCTTTGCTTCCAGTAGGTACCCTCAGAACATGCCTGCAAACCAATTGTGGCAAACAGAGTGTAGGTGTCTGATCTTGGTGTGAGGAGCTGCATGTTGAGAACTTCTTATTCTACAGCTTCTTGTACGTTTCCTGACTTTTTCCTTCTGCTTCACCATTTTGCCAGTTACATTTGGGTGATCAAAGTGTGGATGGTAAGGACTGGAGTGAAGCTGCACATCGATTTTGTATTTAATTGATTACGGCTTCAAAATGAACCATAAGGGTTCCTGATTAGCTTCTATTATAAGCTAGATCATATAGTTTGGAAAAATATCCTGTTTTGCTAACAGAAAATCACTTGATAGACTCTGAATACTCTGCAAAATATCCATTTGATGTAGTTGTCATTAGTCAGCTTTACTGCCAGGTTTTGACCACCAGCTTTGTTAGCTCTGGTTCTTATTAGCTCTTTGTATGTTTAATAGCCTTCTTTATTCAAATTTCTGCTTCCTTTAGAGTTACTATCTTATTCTTTACCTTCTTTTTGTAAAAGTGGAAAATGGAGTTTCTCCTTTTCTTCATTATCTTCTCCCGTTCTTTAATTATTCCAACATTTTTTAAATGGTTTCCAGTTTTCCAAAATGCTTCTAGAAGTTTGAAAACCAGTGCTGGAGGTAATGTTTTGGGTGAGGTCCTCCTGTGAAATCCAGAGGCACGATGATCTTTATACTTTCATTTTCCTTGTTAAATATTCCTGTGATGACACTAGAGATGGAGCTGTTGTGTTGAACAGGGACTTCAGTTTTTCCTTCATGAGGATGCTCTCAGGTACTGTCAGTTCTTCCCAACTTGTGCACCTGCTGAGCAAGAAGACATAGCCTGGTGCACAGACAGACAGACAGACAGACTGGCTGTCAGTCGCCTTTCCTCTTTGTACATAATGGCTTCCTTGGTATTTGTCACCTGCACAGCTTTTCAGTCATGATTTTTTTTTCTTCTTCTTCTTCTCTTTTCTTCCAAGTCATTGGCTACACTGCAAAATAAGATAGTTGCTTTGAGACTAGAAACCACCCGCAGTGTGATGCGTTTTTTTGTTTATGGTCATGGTCTTTGACTTGTCTGTTGAATATTTGAATTAATTTTGTCTGCCTGGCTCAGCTCTTCTTTCATTGGGCTTTCCTAATGAAAATGTCATGCTCCATCAAACCAGAGGTCTTGAAGGAACACGTGAGCTCATTGCTTTTAACTTCAACAAACTTCTGTTGTTTGCTGTTGTACTTGTTAGTCTGGAGGGGCTTTCATGCTTGATGGCTCAATGAGACAAACCTCAGCAGCACATGTTGAATTCGTTGGTAGTGTGTAAATAATTTATTGTCATGAAATGCTTCTCATTTTCCTATATTTAGTTCTGTGCAATTTTCTGTAATAGCCATTATGATTAGTAGCTTTTTAGCAAAGACATTTTTCATGTATGTTACTTCCAAGAAGCAGCTGGTATGTTCCCGTTGTCCTTTTCCCACATCTACCTTTCCTTTTAGAATGGGAATTTAAAAAATAAAAAAAAAAAGAAAATAGAACTTTAAGTGGACTGGTATTCTTGGGCTATCAAATTGAACAATCACAAAGTGTTAGTGAAATGCTAAAGCCCATCAATATGTCTGTATCTGGGAGGCAGTAAGATCCCTCTAGAAATCACTAACTGGGAGAATCAAACATACTTTTTCATGGGTTAGTGGGGTGTGGGCCAAAATAGGTTGGCTATTCCCTTATTTTGAGCTATTTCCATGTTTTAGAAAGTGCTCCTTCAGTAGTCAGAGAAAGTAGCCTTCCAGTTAATCCTTACTCAGTTGACTCAACCTCAGCTCCAGCAGCAGCATCCTGGATTTTCCATAAGCTGCCTTTCTAGCTGTTTCTTTAACCTCCCCCAGCCACCACATGCTCTGCTGTGAGAAGAAAAATGTGAAGAAGGATAACAGTGACACCAGGGGAGGAAAGTTCTAGTAACTGGCAGCTTAAGCTGGAAAAGGTCTTAAAAAGGGTGACAAGAATGGTCAAGGAC